AGCAGATTTCAAAGCTGTTGCATGAATTATTATTATTATTATTATTATTATTATTATTATTATTATTATTCCTACTCCTGTGATTTTAACAGCAATATAATCTGCAAAAAACAGGTAAGGGTTCCATTTACTGCTGCAAATTAAACTGCTGTTAAAGGCCAAAGTACAGGGCATAGTTCAGAACTCTACTTACATCAGGGCTAGCCATGCAAAATTTTCTGCAAGAAGGGTAGCAACCCAGTGCCTCTACCTCCCCAGTCTAGAGGAATCATATCCAACCCAAGTACTTTCATTCTTGAAGGGGGGAAATCACAAAGAGACTTTTTTTCCCACCTAGTAGTTCACAAGAATACAGAAAGAATGAATTAAAGCACAACCAATTTGTTAACTTTCATGGTCCTGAAAATCAGCTGCCAGTGATGCCACCTGCGTCATTCTGCCCTGCCCTCGCTTAAGGTATCCTTATGCTTTTGGAAAGTGCCCAAAAAATGAAAACCAGAGCTTGGGAGCTCAGCAGAAGACAGGTGGGGGTAGATCCTAAGATTCATATAAACTGCAGTGAAACAAGATGAAAGAAGTCCAAGTGAAAGAAATTCACCACTCAAAAATTATAAAGATATTGAAAATCTACACAAAACCTCTATAAATTAGATAAGTTCTAGCTATTTAAAACATTGAACTGACATTCTTGCTATTTCTATAGGGCTGAAATTCTTTTAATGATCTATGTGTGTCAGATTGCCTGTGTAACAGTAAAATCTGCCTTCTTTTGCCATAATCTAATTTACTACCTAGTTTGCTAAACAACTAAGGTATGGGCAACTTTATCGTATTAGTCACTGGTAGCTGCCCTTTTCAGAAAATTGATTCTTCCTTCAAGTATCCTCGCAGATCATTTGATAACACATCCTCAACTACATTTTTGTATCATCAGAAAACTTCCCCAATTCTCTCTTAAGATATAAATTATGGCATGAGAAAGTCTGAATATTGGTAACTTCTTTCCAGAAGGACACTTCCACGTTTCGGAAATTTTTGCTATCCAATATTCCTATGCCAATCCCTCCAGTTGATCTAACTTGACTTGAGCTTACACATTTTCCATAGATTCCTCACTATTTACCTCTCTTTTTATTTATCATCCACCGCCTCAAAGACAAGAAACAAAGCTGACAAAGAAACAGACACGCATGCAGCAGAGTGAATAAGGTGTCCAAAGATACTTGGAGTACTGATTGTCAGTGAATTTATACTGTATCTAGTCAAATAGGAGTGGGATGAAGGGAAGCAATCTTAACCATGTTTGCATTTTTTCTTTGAGAAACAGAAGGAGGGAAGGGTAAGAAAAGTAGTGAATGAGCAAGAGAGAATAATAGCCATTTTAATGGGGTGGGGCAATGCTGGGGAACTGCTCCTTTAATATAGCATATTGTAATGTAGCCATCCTAGTGACATATAATTAAAAGTAGTATTGAAAATTCAGTATATAAAACTTAATTTAAACTTCAGTGCCATTTAAACCACTGAATCTAACCCTCTATTTAGTGAAGGAGTCCACATTAAAGCATGCCAGATTCTTTTAAACCCAGAAAGTCTATGAAAGCAAGATTACAGTGATGTTGGAGGGAAAAAATTAAGGGAAATAGTTCAAAATGCCATACTGCTTAGAGATTCAAGGCACTGAATGTAAAACTTGTTACTGATAGATCACTTCCCATTATTGTTCATATAACCCTATTTTATTATTTGAGAGTTAGGAAAAGAGAAGGAGAAAATTAATAAATGTCCAAATATAAATGTTCAGGCAAGACAGAAAAAATGAAAAGAAGTTTTATTTTTTTCTATAACGATTTCTTGGTTTACAGTTGTGTATATGCAGGGTATGAATCATCTATTGGCCGTAATCCCAATATTTATCAATTTGGAGAGAAATCTATTTACTTCTTTTTAATCTCCAACAATATAATTTCAAGAGTTTCTCTTTCTATCATGGCAAACTGAGCAATTTCTTTTTTAGATTTCAGAAATCAAGAAAAGGATGGATATATAGACATATAAGTATGTGTGATTGTATTGCACCAAAGCAGTTTTTAATTATCAAGAGTATATAAAGGCTACCTTCTTCCTAATTTAATTTCAAAAACTTCCAATATTGATTCTAGTATCCCTCAGAAATACTGGCTAAGATTTAATGACAAAATACTGCCTGATACGGCATATTTAACTTTATTTCAGGGACAGATTAGGCAATGGGGAGAAAAACCAAGGCTTCCCAGTTAACTGAGACCAACTGAATCCTGATTCTTGATGGATGCCTTGGGCTTGCACAGAACAATTTGTGGAATTTACTTTTTATGTTTCCGCACACCTGGTGTTGGCTGCTGCAGTTTATCTGGAAAATTCTTGCTACTACAGTGAATTGCATCTCGTCAACATTTAAAGGTAAACTAGCGTCTACCTAGAGGTAAACATGGCCTCTTCATGCAATGACCAAGGCACGAAATATTACAACACTTATCCAAGAAACAGATACTATGCAAGGCTACCTGACACAGATAAATAAATGTATATTTTTTATACATACTTTTGGAGAATTATTTTGGCTACAGCACAGGATTCTCCTGCTGTGAATGCAGTCTTTACTATACCTGATAGGATATCTCTCTGCATAGAAGTCCTGGAGAGAGGGTAAATTACCTGTTTCCTCCCCACAACCCAGGACAGGTTTCCCACCTGGAGCCGGTGCCTGAGGTTGCTCCCCCACCTTTTCTGCAGCAGCCCAGGAAAGCCTTGGAGGAGCAGCATCTCCTTTTTCTCAGAAGTCTGAGCTGGACCAGCTTTCCACAGCTGCTTCTCAAGGGGCCCCAATGTTACTTCTATTATTTCCATACCAGAGACAGGAGGAGCATCTCTTTCTTTAAGGAGGGTGCATAATTAGCCAGCCAGTCTGAACTTACTCTGTTCATAACCTAATGACCATTTTAATATTGATGGCACACACTGGGATAATTCGGTGGGATAACATAGCCATATATTACAGAGAGACAACGCATTGAGGGAGGCATCTCTGTTCGCCAAGGGAGGCTCCCTTGTTAATTTAACCTGTTATTTTCAGATGATTTGGGATTATTTTATGTAATTTTCAAAACTATAAAAAGCCACTTTAAAAAAATGCCTATTACTTGTCAGAACACTGAACAATCTTTTGCATGAATTAACACATCATTATTTCTATACTTTGGTGCACATTGCTTCATTCTTTAAAAAGTGCTGAATTTACTATTTATTATATGATAACTATTGAGCTAAACAGCTGTTGAAGTGGCTGCTATCGGCTGTTATGTCTATCTGAATCCAAGTATCTTTATGGGGCGACTTGTTTGACACAGAGATTCGTAATATGTCATACTAGCAGCAGCTGCTCATTCTACAATCCACTGCCGAAAATACCCAAATCTCAGTTGGTGTATTCCAAAAGATATCCATGCAGACTGTTACAGAGATCCCTTCCTGGCGGATCACGAAGCTTAAAGATTTGGTAATGTTTGATATCCATGAAAAGAGCTAAATTTAAAGCTCAATCAAATATGTAGCCTGCATTTGTTCATTTGTAATTAGTGACAGCTCAGCATTTGTGCGTGCGGGTTATAGATAGGTGCCATCTCCCACTTTTCAAGCATCGTTAATTATGTGCCTGTCCAAAGAACCATTCCGTGCATCTCCCCGGGTCTGTTTCTCTTCCGGGCCAGTGCACAGAATAGGCTAGAGCTCTATTCTGCTCTTTCCATGGGGCATTTTTGTACATCTGGCACAGGTGGCACAATTCCTTTCTCAGCATCACCTTGTAAAGCACATGGAAGTCTAAATTACTGTCACTGCCTGGGTCATTCCCAGGCATCGCGTTTCAGCCCTGGTTCTTCATTTTATCAAAGGAAAGGGCGGGGAAGCTGTGGGCACAGGCCTGGCTACATATTGTAGAGCCACAGATCCTCCCCAAGGCTTAGGTCGGTTGGGCGGCTTAAACTAGGCAGAGCTATTGAGAATGCGACCATTTTGCCTGACCGGTTTTGCATCAGACCTACAGCGCGAGACCCCAGACAGACAGAAGCTTCGGAAGGGGAGCAGGGAGGGCTCGCAGGTTCCAACAGTCAAAGCAGCAAGCAACCAACACCGGCTATGTCCTCCTAGAGGCCTCGACCAATGGCCCTGAGCGCGCGCCACGCAGACAGCCTCCCCAAACTCTTTGTCCCTCTCGGCCTGGCCCAACGCCCCTCAGAGGCTCTCCAGACGCCGTCCGGAGGAGCTCTTCCCCGGAAGGAAGCCGGGGTGGGAGGGCAGCGGAGCCTCTTCCCGGGAAGGCAAATCACCAGGAGGCGCTCGCCCTACCGCCTCAGCCGGGCGGGCTGCTTTAGCCTTTCGGGCAGCCCGGGGCTTCCGAGGAGGCGAGGAACCGGGCGGCTCTGGCCCCGGACTCCCCTGCCCTCCCTTCGCCTTCTTGGTGGCAGGAACTGCGCCGATTCGGTCCACAGGCCGCGCGCCAGAGAAACTGGAGCTGAAGCGTCCTGCGGAGAGGGCAAGGCGGTTCGACGGGGCGGCTTACCGGTTGATGGAGGAGACGCTAGGGACCGTGTCATTGTCGCAGATGCCCTCGGCCAGGAGCCGGTCGCGGATCTCCCAGGCGAACATGGTGGGGTTCTGCCTTTTGTACTCGGCGATTTTATCCACGACTTTCGGGGTAGCGACCTTCGGCTTGGAGCCGCCGATCACGCCGGGCTTGATGCTCCCGGTCTCGTAGTACCTGCGGGAGC